TAGATGAGCGCTGTCGCTATGCGGCACTTGTTGGATGTAATTAGCTAAACATGATTTATGATAGGGCATGATGTTGGCTGTTTTTCAAGAAAAAAATACTTTACACAGTATATATATGTGTGCATCCAACCTATCTCATACCTACATGTAGGTTTTAGGGCAACATATATGTAATATTACACTCAGATAAATAACAATTATAGGTTCATGTCATCACCTGTTGTCTTAGCAACAGTTACCACAACTGTCACTGGTAGCGGGTAATTGTATTCCGATGGGTGTGGGAAAAGCGACGGTCACATATTTTACCCACCACCGTCCGTCACACAATTTTATCCATAATTATCAGGAGTGAATAATAATAGATCTATTATTATTCACTCCTTATGTTATTAATGTGAACCTAACTGTGGGTCTTTCGTGGTAATCTCCGATAATGCGTTCAGCATCTTGTCCTATTAAGGGAAGTGTACCTAACCATGACAGCAAGGCGTTTGTGTGATGAGTCTTCCCATCATCGTATTACTAACCAGCCAACACGGACAATAATTTATTAATGCTCATGAATGAATGATGCGGCCCCTACTGCCGCGGCAGGCTTGTGCGTTAGCCGAAACTACGCTGGCAGAGCTGAGATAGGCCACTATATCTATCATTGTGAGACAGCAGAGGAGGAGGGGGGAGTAAAATCGAAAGGCCTGTTGTCAAAAACAAAATTAGTCTTAACATTAACTTTTTCTCGTAGACCGGACTTCGATGCACTGCGTGCGCGAAACTTGTAACTTTACCGTGCGGCTATCAGTGGTCCGGCCACGAGAAAAATGCAATGTCGAGACTAATTTTGTTTCTGACACACGAGCTCCTGGCTTAGGGAGAGCCACGTAGAACTCTTGGCCTTCGTAGAAGCTCAGCCAGTGCCTCGCCGAGATCTGATCCGGTCACCACGCTGTGTTGCAGGAGTGGTGGCGATCGCTCGCGGACTGATGTCTACTGCCTCGCTGACAACGCTGTCTCTGAAGGGGAACAACATTCGTGGTGCCGGTGCCGTGTCTCTCGCTGGACTCCTACGCACTAACAAACACCTGAAAACGTGAGTCTACTGCAAAGAAAGAGGTAGAGAGAGGGGGAGAGCGAGCGAGAGCGAGAGAGAGCGAGAGAGAGAGAGAGAGAGAGAGAGAGAGAGAGAGAGAGAGAGAGAGAGAGAGAGAGAGTGAGAGAGAGAGGAGATGCAGTGAAACTCTCGCAAATAGAAAAAAATGCAAGATGTGCATTAACACGAGTTTTCTCGGAAAACTGTAACAAAGGCAAAGTGCTTGTAAATGTTTAATAATTTGGCGCAGGTTTCATTAGCATGTACATGTAATAACCTCTTTCGAAATCGTTAAGTATCAAATATTTATGAGCCGCGGCATTTAACCAGTGATTAATTGGCATTTAGAAGGGAAGTCAGTATACCACCATCCACCAAATTAACGCACACAGCATTTACTCAATCATAGTGTAATTGTTTGACAACGCATTTTGATCAATTATTATCAATTTTAGCATTTCGCTTAGAGTTGTAGCCTTAGTTCTATCATAGTCTAATGCATGTTGTGACATTTGTAGTTGCATGAGTGGTGTGCATGCACTACTGCAAATTGCAGTACTGAATGGAATCACTTGAACCTAATATCATGTGATACTGAATGCTGCCACATTAATATAAGTAATTCCTGCCATATGTTGCGGTTACGTCATATGTTGCCATCATGTCCTATCAGGAGTGAATAATAAGAGATAATATATAATCTATTATTATTCACTTCTAGTCGTGTGTTTCCGTCACAACGTATGTTGCCGTCACATTATGTGTTGCCGTCGTGTCGTATATTGCAATGTCATATGTTGCAGCTTGTTGCTGGAGTGGAACGTGTTGGGAATCCTCGATAACTCGTCATGTCACATGTTGCTGTTATGTTGTATGTTGCTGTCACATCGTATGTTGCTGTTATTGTTGTATGTTGCAATGTCATGTCTTACCATATGTTGTATGTTGCAGTTTGTTGCTGGAGTGGAACGTGTTGGGGATCCTCGATAACTCGTTCGCGACCTTCGCAGAATCTCTCGGGGTCAATGCTACGCTCGAGCGACTCGACCTTCGCAGCAACCAGCTGTCGCACGACTGCGCCGCCGAGCTAGCGTCTGCTCTCCGACGCAACACGAGTCTCCTCACGCTGGGTGAGTCATCGAGGCCTCGTTATTAACGATTGTCGATCGTCAATAACGAGGAGGCAACGTTGAGAGTGGCTTCGACTTGTTGTTTCCCGTTGATTACGGACGCCCGTCGTCAGACACAAAATTAGTTAACCTTGTTCTCGTGGATCGGACTTCTATTTACTGTGCATGAGAAACTCGCAACCTTAACATGCGTCTGTCAATGGTCCACGAGAAAAAGGTAATGTTAAGACTAATGTTAAGACTAGTTTTGAGGCTAGTAACGGTATTCTAATGTATCAGAACAATAATAGTTAGAATCTGCAGATCTGCGATGGAACAACGTCGGCATCACCGGCGGACGCGCGCTGCTCGTTGCCATGGAAACGAACAAGACTCTGACGAGGATGGACGTTGCCGGCAACGGCATCCCGGCGGATGTCGTCGCCGCGTTGCAGACGCTCGTCGCCGCCAACGCCGACCGGCGCGCCCTGGTGGACGAGCACCGCGCGCGCGTCCGCACGC